CTGTGTGGGTGCTGGGAATTGAACCTGGGTCCTCTGAAAGAGCATCCAATGTTCTGAACTGTGGAGCCATCTCTCCAGTCCTTCTGACAGTTTAAAAGAGAAATAGAGTCCTACTGAATCTTTTTTATAGGCATGTCTAGCAAAGTTCCAAAGGCACTGCCTGGATATTCTGAACGAGTTTCCAGGAATTAGTTTCCTGGAAAGGTGAAGGGCATGACACTAGCTCATGACACTGAACTAGCCTGTGGGTCCCATCTCAGCCAGGTGGGAGACTCTGGTACAAGGCTCCCTGATGCACAGACTCCTCAAATGTTTGGGAGATGGTGGGTGAGGAGTAATTAAATTTGCCTCTCTGTTGTTTGGAACGTTTAGGATGTGGGTGTGACTCTAAATAGTGAGGAGAGCCGGCTAGCTATAGACTCATTTGCTTTGGCAGGCACCTCTGATCTCAGGGAGGGTGGAGAGCTTGAGAAAATGGGGATGTACCATCCAGCAGTGCAGCAGCCCTTCTCAATGCTCCTGCCCATCTAGTTCAGAAAAGGAACCTGCAAATGGAAAGTAACTGTTCCTACCTGGCAACAGACGTCTGATACAAAATTCTGACAGTGAACACTCTGGGACTCTATGCAGAAATCAATGCAGAGCTAGAGACGTTAGCTCCCAGTCTCCAAACCAACCACTTCACATCTTATGATCAGGACCAAGAGAAAAAGCCAAACCAGTCGTATTTGGTATGTGTATTCCCCATACCAACCTCCCAGGACAGGACCTTAATCTCCCTCCCCCTAACGGCCTGCTTTTGAGTCCCTGCCAAATACAGAAACGGTCTTAGTTAGGTTTCTATCACTATGATTTAAAATAATGAACAAAGCGACATGGGGAGGAAAGGGTTTATTTCACTTTAAAGCTTGTGGTCCATCATCCAGAGAAGTCAAGGTAGGAACTCAAGCAGGGAAGGAAGCTGAAGGCACAAACTGATACAAACTGATGGAAGAGTGTGCTGCTTCCTGGCTTGCTCCCCACATCTTACTCAGCTGGGCTCCTACACTGATCACTAACTAAGCAAATGCACCACAGGCTAATCTGGTGGAGGCATTTTCTCAACTGAGGTTCCTTCTTCCCAAATGACTCCAGTTTGTGTCAAGTTGATTTAAAACTAGCAAGCACAGTGACTCTCTTTCAGGCTCTGATTAAATGGCTTCTCTGTTTTCATTTGATCTTTACTTTCATGGTAGGGGCCTGAACACAAATAAGACACACTTATAAAATCAGCACACCGGTGAGGAAACAGACCAGCAGCGAGATGTCCCCTCTCAGCTCTGTCCTTCCTAGGCTCACCATGCTGACACCTGGCCCCATAGGTCAACTTTGCTTGTTTCTGTATTTGATAACCGATAGATTGTACTCTTTCATGTGTACTGGCATGCTCAACATCACATGTACAAGTGCTATACGCACACCGCTGTGCAGGGCAAATTCTTTCATATTCATTGCTAAATATTAATGTGACAGTTAATGTTTTCATAGCAGTGACAAAATACTTATCTAGACAACTTACAGAGAGAAATTACTTCAACTCAATTTCAGAGATGTCAGTCCACAATCCTGGCCACCAGTGATTCCCAGACTGTGTTGAAGCAATGTGCTGACTGGATTAGTTTTATGTCAGCTTGACACAATATAGTAATCAGAGAGGAGGAAGCCTAAATTGAGAAAATCCTGTCGTAAGATCAGGCTCGGAAAGATAAGCCTGTGGAGTATTTTCTTAATTAGGGATTGATAGGGAAGGCCCAGCCCATTGTGGGTTGGTGGTCCTGAATTCTACAAGAAAGCAGGCTCGCCAAAGTGTGGTGGTGCATGCCTTTAATCCCAGCTCTCAGGAGGCAGAGGTAGACGGATCTCTGTGAGTTTGGGGCCAGCCTGGTCTACAGAACAAGTTCCAGGACAGCTAGGGTTGTTATGCAGAGAAAAACAACTGACTTGAAAAAACAAAAACAAACCCAACCAAACAAAAAACCAATAATATGAAAGCTTACTGCCCTGTATCATATATTGTGATTCCCAGCTAGCAGAATACATCCATTCTGTCTTCCTAACCTTACCCCTTGAACATGATACACGGTTATGAACTCCTTTAATAAATAATCAATGCCTGCCAAATCCATGGACTTCTTAAGGACTAGAATTATAGGTTCATATCTCCTACCCCATCACACCCAGCCTGATGGTTCTGATTTTGGGCACATACACAGGGATTATAGTCTCATGGTTATGTCATCCCTGAGACTATATTAATTATAGACTGTTACTTTACTATTAGAGCAGATACTAGATCTTGACATATTGGTCAGGATGTTTCAGTGGGAAAATCTCCCTTTGAATGTGGTTCTGGCTCCAGATAGACACCAGGTCAGCTGAAGTTCACTGACATAAGGAAATCCATATCTGGAGTTCAGGGATCATTGTCCCCTCTGATCTTTCCACCTGCTGTCTTACAAGCCAGCTATAAATTGAGTCCATGATAGTGTCTCTTTCACAAGGTCAACATGAGAATTAAGAGACCTAATATATGGGAAGTGTTGGGCAAAGAGCCTGGAACATGAACAGGATGCAGCGTAAATGGATTCCTTACCATATTGCTGCTGTTGTTAGTAGCGGAAACAGTGGTTAATTCTTTAGCGACCACATTTAACAGGTCCTACAGCCATTGTAGCCTTGGGCTAAAGAGATACAAGCAGAAAACTGAGCACAGTAGAGCATATGGCTAAGCTCTAAGAAAAGAAACCAATTCTGACACAGACACATTAGACCAAGAACCCTCCGTCTATTTCCCTTAGAGGAGGGTGTCTTAGCCATCATCTCTGTGATAGTACATCTATGGAAAATATGGACCTTAGGGGCCGAGTGATTCTATTCCTACGGGGCACAAGGGGTCATGTTACCGAATTTAAATTTCTGCCTGCTATAAAAGGTTGCCGAGCCTGAGGTAGCATGAGAAGACACAGGTCCCTGATGTAACGGAGCACACCCATGATGGCTGTCTCTTTCATCTCTGACAGAGTCCCATAATGAGGACATCTAGCAAGGGAAGGTAGTGAAGGGGTGGTACTGTACTGAATTAATCACAACAGGGCCTATTGGGGCTTGCTGGGGATAGAGCAATATAGTTCTTGAGCTTTGGGGAATTCTTCAGAGAAAGTAGACGGACAGGGCTGGCTCTTTTGCAGGTACATCTGTGCATGGATGCTTAGGAAGCACGGGTTCCTCCAGCCAACTGTGATCATCTGGATGCTTAGGAAGCACAGGTTCCTCCAGCCAACAGTGACCATCCTAAAGGAAACTGTTTCCTGACATCCATAGGATGTGTACCCAGACACCTGTGGCCACGTACAGATGTTTGGGTTCTGGTTCATCTTGTCCACATCATGGCTATGACGGTAACCTGACCCAACCCTCTTTTCTACAGCTATGAATCTTACTGCAGCTGAAAGCAACAAACACAGGACTCCTGGGACCTAACCCTGGTCAAAGCCTGTTGTGGGAGTAGCTTCCGCTGCCTCAGCCAATAGTCGCTGAAGCACGAGCCCACGGTGCAGCGGGGAGCGACTTCCGCTCCGTCAGCCAATAGCCGCTGAAATACCAGCCCACTGGGGCGTGGTATATTTCTCTTTCAAAAAGAGACACAGATCCGGATCAGGCCCTCTTGGTTCCGGCGCTTGGTCCCGGCTCCTGCTCCGGGCTCCTGCTCCAGCGACTAGGCTCCCTTCCTGACGGTTTATGGTGTATGTAAGTTTTACCCCCCAAAATAAATAACCCCTTAAAACATAACTGGTGTGGGATTGATTCGCCGATAAAAGCCTTCCTCTTCCTGAAGCTGGCATCTGGGATGCCTCCAAGTTGAAACCAGCTGAGATGTTGATGTCATTAAATGCAGGCCTAGTCATCAAAACAGGCAAAGTGCAGAGAAGGCCTTTGACACTTCCTACACATCCTTGACCTAAGAGACGCCTAGTGACCTGTTACTGCACTTGAAATTTCACCATCTGGGTGACACTCTGTAGGACTATGTATTGCATTATCGAGATATCTCTTTTTAAAGCTACCCTGGAATGGCAGCACTAAAGCTAGTGCCCTGTACGACCATTCAGTAGCACAGCCAGCATGAGAGAGTAGGAAGTCCAGGGGTTGGTTGGAAACAAAGGTGAGCCAGGCAGTGGTGGTGCATGCTTTAATCTCAGCACTTGGGAGGCAGAGGCAGGATCTCTGTTCAAAGACAGAGTAAGTTCCAGGACAGGTAGGACTACACAGTGAAACCCTGTCTCAATAAATAAATAAATAAACAAACCAAAACAACAACAAAAAAACAAAACCAAAAAAATTGAAAAAAATTAAAGAAACAAAGGTGATAAAAGCAGTGCAGACTTGGCAGGGGGACAAATTACATTAAGATTCATGGCACAGGCTGAAGTGTACCTTGAAGTTCAGAAAGTATAGGTCATTAGTTCATTTTTCCCTAGGGCATGCAGGGAAGACTGTGACAGCAATCCCATCCCTGATGCCTCTAAGCTTTGTGTTCACAACAGAGCCCAGAGATGGAAGTTGGCTCCATGCCTAACCCTTGCCCAGCAAAGGGCACCTTAAGAGAACCCATGAGGATACCCTCAATATGTCTTACCAGATTTCTTTTCTTTCTCTGGAGGTAGGGTCTCAATGTGCAGCCCCGGCTATCCTGGAACTTGCTCTGTAGACTAGGCTGGCTTCGAACTCACAGAGATCTGCCTGCCTCAGCCTCCTGAGAGATGGGATTAAAGGTGTGCACTACCAAAATCAGCCTAAGCTTCGTTGTATGTCTGATGTAGATGGAACTAAACGTCCTGCCCATGGAGGAGGAAAGAATATGCAGCACTATTCTCTAACTGTGCAGTCAAAAGCCCTAGCACCTTTCCATTTAAAAGTGATAACATGTATCCAACCCCTAAGAAATATAGAACTCACAAAACTTGCACAGATAAACTTTTTTAATTTATCTTGATAAAATTAGAACATATTAGCACATATGTATGCATATTTGCCCCATTTCACACATGGGAAAAGTAAGGCACAGAGGTTTATACCTTGTCAGAGATCTCAGGGCCAGAGAGACACGGAAGCACTATGTAGGCCAAGGCTGTCCTCTTAAAGACAAAGACTGTGCCATTACAAACCTGACCTCTGCCTCTCAGGCTCACCTTAGTTCGACCATGCTGGGCAGGAGGGTAAGTACTTGGTGGTCACACCCCCTGGGCTAGGCATTATGTAAATATCTACATCCTCCAGTCTCAGAAGAGCCCAGTAAAAGCAAGAGCTGCTCACTGTCTACCCTGGGAAAAAGACTAGAGAAGCCAAACATCGATCAGGTAATGCCAGAGAAAGAATGGAACTGAAATCCAAGCCCAGCCAAGCTCCGCCCACTAGGTGTTCCATCATCCAGTGTAGAAAGCCAAAGAGAATGGAGACCAGGAGGGGGAAAGTGAAGAGGGGGGGTAAGGCTCCCAGGGTCTTCCTCAGGCCTGGCAACTGCTTCTGGCCTTCTTGGAGTCCATAGGGAACCGTCTGACCTTCCCTTAGGGTAGCCTGCCTGTGGAGGGGGAGAGAGAGGATTCAAAGCTCCCTAGAGACCAGTCACTCTGCTACTCCCAGGCTCTAGTGCCAAGGCCTCAGGCCCGACTGCTGGTGAAAAGCACAAGATGTTGTGGGAGCTCTCACCAATACACCTGTGCTTGTGTTTCATGGAACCTGGAAAGGATGAGGGGCACTGCCAACAGAGAGTGACACCTCCTGATCTTCAGGCTTGGGCCAAGAGGGATGAGGCTGACGGGGACACCTGCTTAGAAGAACATAGCATGAAATCCTAAACTGTCATGTGGCCAGGTCAGAAGTGGTGGAGCTAACCCAGTGCCTCAAACACCTAAAGACCAAAAGATGGCATGAACTAGGATGGAAAGAGTCTCTCCCCTACCCCAGAGGATGGAGCGCTTGAAGGAATCACCATCTCTAAGTTCCCCTAACTCAGCCTCCACCAGCCCGAGCCTAGAGAACATGCTTGACGGAACTGAGCAAGTGAGTGACACACGGCTGAGGCCTCACTGGGCCAGGCGCCTACTACGGTACAGCATCACTGCCAGGAATGCGGCCAAGAGTGCACTGGTTGCCCCGAGCCACTTAGGCCAGGATACTGAACTGACACAAAGTTCTTCTTTCTCTTCTGGGGGCTTCTGGGTGGCCAGTGGCCCAGGGCTTCCTTCCAGGAGGTCAGCACTGGGGCTCTCGTCCACCTGGATCCTAAAGGACGAATACTCATTCTCCTCCGGACCACGACTAGCTCCTGAGCCGAAGGAGCTGCTGGAGCTGATGGCAAGGTCCGCAGAGCAGCCTGAGAATGGCTCCTCCACCCGGGACACCAGCACACCTGGTTTGCTCATCTCAGTCGTGGAGTGCAAGCTCCTGAAACTGCCATCTGGCCCGGGCTGGTTGCCTCTAGTGGTGACTGTGGTTGCTGGAGGCTCTAGGGTCTCCTGGAAACACAAGGAGAGTGTTGGAAGGAGTTCAGGTGACAGGAAGACAAACTAGGTTGTATGGTCAGGGCATGCACTTGCATCCCATAATAGCTGAAACCACCCTCTCTTGGGGAGTCAACACATCAATGATACACACACACAGCTGGGAAGGAAGTGACCAAGACCCTGTAGTAACCCTTCCAGGGCAGCCCTCTCCCACTCCATGAGCTGCTGCGGGTGTCACTGCTAGGGAGCCCTTGCCGGGGTGTGACCCATCTTGCAGTATTTGGGCCCGAGAGCCACAAGGCAGCCACAAGATCCAAAGGTTTGTGACCTTGGTTCCTTCAGATAAACCTTGGAGAAAGTGGCTATATGGGTCACTGGGTTGGAGTAGCTGCTCCAAGACAGATGTTTGAGATCACTGTCCAATGAAGAACAGGGCACATGAGCCACCAAGTTCATTCCTCACTACTTCATGTACAAAGTGATACTGCTCAAAGCCCCAAATAAGTTACTATACATGTCAGTGTGGGTGGTCTCATGCCCCACCCTGCTGAAGGTCCATGCTAAGAAGTTCTCATGACTACCATCCCTCCTGCAAAACAAGGGGTAAGGGCTGGATGAGGCTGATTTCCATTTGTCCCAACACCTTGAAGAACCAGACCAGAGACAGCACAAAGACTAAAAGGGTCTGAGGGTGGGGCAGCTGTCTTAGCAAAGTGGACTGAGTCACTATTAGGAGGAAGAAAGACTCACCTTGGCTTTGTTGCTGCTTCTGTTAGGTGGCATTATGTTGGCAGGTGCTTTGGCCACACTAGCAGGCACTTTGGATGGCATTGCGCCAGCATATGCTGAGTTGATGGGTAACTTTGATGGTGCTGTATTGGTGAGCACAGAAGAGGGCATTGCAGCAGTGGGCTTTGGACTGATGGGCAACTTGGAGGACACTTTGGAAGATACGGTAGTTGTTGATACCAATTTGGTAGAGGAAGGCACTGAGCTGGTAGTTATAGAATTGGTGAGTACTCCCCCATCAGTGCTGAGACAGGTGGCAGCCTTGGCCTGGTCACCAGCTCCCTTTGCATAAGCCAATTCAGTGGAAGAGGGAGACAAGGAGGCATCAGGAGATGGAACAGATCCCGTGGCCCCTAGCACGTGGCTTGTCCTACGGGTAGTACGTGGAAGGGGCTGGAAGGAGACAGTGGGAGACACAGGTCCATGCTGCAGTGTGGGAATGGAGTCAACACCTACAGGTGGGGAGACAGAAACAGAAACAAACTCAAAGGACTGTTTTGTGTTGAGGGCTAGAAGGGCCCCCAGGCCCTTGGTTACACTGTCCCTGCCACATCTGGTCTCCCAATTTCGGCTCATGGGGAAGATTCTTTCCCTCAGTCCTAGACACTGAGCCCTAGTCTGTCCTATCACCAAAATGAAATGGCCTCTACCTTCATTCACACCCAAAAGCTTGATGCTTGCTATAAATTATTATTTTTTCCTTCCACCCTGGACACCTGCCTCCTGCCCCACTTCTGCCTCTTCTCCCTGAGACATTCCCCTCCCTGCTGTCCCCCACTACCTTCCAGCAGGAACTGTCCTGAATCGAGGCAAGGGACAGCAGGGCAGCCCAATAGAACTACTAACACCAGTCACTCAAACAACAGGCATATGCCCCAGGAATAAAGACCCAGTAGTCCCAGGAAGGGACCCTGATCTGGGGAATCCAGAAGTAGCAGGTAGTAACACACATAAAGCTGATGACATGAGACTCTGCACAGAACTCTCAGGATGTACATGTCAAGGCTGACGAACATCAGAAGTCATGCCTGCTGTCTCACCCTAAACCTAACAAAATCTCCTGGCATGGAATCACAAACATATTACAAACGAAGTGCCCTCTGCCCCCATGGTTCACAGCAGTATTTCCTGAGAAATGTCTTGTGACAAGCTGACATTACAAAGCACAAACGGTTGACTGAGGGCTATTTGGGGATGAAAAAAGTCGGGAGTACTAAGATGTTTTTCCCCAACCTTTTACTGTTTACACAGCAATTCCAGGGTGCTGAGGGCTGACCAGGCACCAGTGACAAACAGACAGAATCAAGAAAGCAGAGGTGAGCCATTCTAGCCTGGAAAGCCAGGGTGGACCGAGCACAGTCCCGGGGGAGCACCAGGCTCTGACCCGACTGACGGCTCATCTGGAGCTGAAACACTTCAGTGATTTCCTGGGGTCTTGGTTACTTTCCTATCGCTGTGACAACACCATGACCAAGACAACTTAGAAAAGAAATCACTTAATTTGGGGCGCATAGTTCCAGGGGGTTAGAGTCCATGACCATCACGGTGGGGAGCATGGTAGCAGGCTGGCATGGTGTTGGGACAGTAGCTGAGAGCTTACATGTGATCCACAAGCATGAGGGAGAGAGGGAGAGAGAGAGAGAGGAAGAGAGAGGGAGAGAGCGAGAGTGAGAGCTAACTGGGGATGGCATGGGCTTTTGAAACCTCTAAGCCCGCCAGTCAGTGGTAGACACCTTTAATCCCAGCACTCGGGAGGCAGAAGCAGGTGGATCTCTGTGGGTTTGAGGCCAGCCTGGTCTACAAGAGCTAGTTTTAGGACAGGCTCCAAAGCCACAGAAAAACCCTGTCTCAAAAAACCAAAAAAAAAAAAAAAAAAAAAGTAATAATAAAATAAAAGAAAATAAACTTCTAAGCCCACCTCTTCCTAGTTCTTTCTACATGGTTCTACCAGCCAGGGACTAAGTACTCAGATGTATGAGCTTCCGGGAGCCATTCTGATTGTAGCCACCACAGCTGACATAGCAGTTCAGAGCTCCCTCATCCGCCAGTCCTGTGTTATCCTTCCCATCTTCAGCCCTCTTGCCCGAGTGCAGACATGGCCCTAACTCTCTATCACATGTAGCAATGTGCAGCAACACACCTACACAGCAATCACATTCCCCAGTGTGACTATGCCAGTTTATCCGTTCTCGGAATCTGGGCTGCCCTTATTGTTTTGACCATAAAACACAGCAGGAGTAATGAGGCCAGTTTTGAGCTATGCCTCACAGCCCTGCCTCTTATCCAGAGTCTTGCCCTGACGGCACGAGTTGGGTTTGCATGCTAGAGGATGAGAGAGGCACCAGTCAACGGACAGCAGCAGAGCATATGGTCATGTCAGGGAATGCATGGGAGGAAGTCAACAAGACCAGAAGACCTACCCAGCTGAGTCATGTGCTAATAAATGACTGTGATTGAAGCTGCTGCTACTCTCCTCACGCATGCACACACATACACATGCACACACGAGCACGCATGCTCTCTGACGTGAATACCCTTTATTCCTACCCTGCATCCTGTCCGAGGAAGGCCAAGTGGTAACTGTAACCCCACCCTTCCCTTGGGAGGTCTGAGAGACCCTGTGATACCACGTTCTATGCATACTTGCTGTGGACGTGCCACCCCGTTCTGGTTCTTGACCATGATGCTCTCTGGAGGGCTGAGGACTAAGAGCTTGTAGGTTAGGTGAGGGCATCAAGGAGTCACCAGTCCCAAAGCTGGCCTGTGGGACTTGCTCTGAATTCTGTAACAGAGGAAATGGTAATAAAGAAATTGCTTCTCCCAAGAGCTGATAAATATTTATAAAGAACAGCAGATATTTATAGGGCATCTCCTACAGGCCTCAGCTCCTGTTCCCAGGACCCTGGGAACCCTTGCCTTGCTTCTGGTCATAGGTAACCTTCACATACCATGGGGTAACTGATCAGTAATATACTTGCCTAATATGTCTTGAGCTCTTAGTGCCTACTTGGTTTTGTTGTTGCTGTTACTGTTTTTGTTTGTTTGTTTGTTTCACATAGAGTCTTTTGTATCTCACCCTAGCCTTGAACTTACTATGTAGCTAAAGATAACTTCTGATCTACCTGCTTCTCCTTTGCATTAGCGTATAGGCATGTGTCATCATGCCCAGTTTAAATGGTGTTGGAAATGAATTCAGGGTTGTGTGTATACTAGGCAAGAACTCCCAACAATTGAGAGCTACATCCAGCCACCCAGGATGACCTCAAATGCTTTAGAAAAACAAAAACTGGGGGGCTGGAGAGATGGCTCACTGATTAAGAGCACTGGCTGCTCCTCCAGAGGTCCTGAGTTCAATTCCCAGCAACCACATGGTGGCTCACAACCATCTGTAATGAGATCTGGTTTCTCTTCTGGCCTGCAGGCATACATGCAGGCAGAACGCTGTATACATAATAAATAAATAAAATCTTTAAATAAACAAAAACAGGCCGGGCTATGGTGGTGCACAACTTTAATCCCAGCACTCGGGAGGCAGAGGCAGGCAGATCTCTGTGAGTTTGAGGCCAGGCTGCTGCAAGAGCTAGTTCCAGGACAGGATCCAAAGCTACTGAGAAATCCTGTCTTGAAAAACAAACAAACAAAAAAACTAACAAACAAACAAAAAGCAGCAAGCTTGAAGTGGACTGTGAGAACCTACCTCTCCAGACCTTGGTGGCTGGGTGTCCTGGACAGGCCTTGGGTAGCCTGGTTTCTCTTGGTAGCCATTGTCGGGGATGCTGTGGCCTGGAGCATAGGCAGAAGGTCCTGGAGCTGTGGCAGGAATTGCTGGTGACTCCAGTGGTGCTAGGGAGCGGAGTGAAGTCCCTAAAGGACAAAGATATAGTAATGTCCAGAAAGAATCACAAGTGTCCTGGTAATGAAGAGGCCTGGAAGCTCTGGGCTGTCTCGTCTCCCTTAAATAACTCCAAAAGCTGACCTGATGTGGGATGAATTCATTAGAGGTGAAAGCATCACTGGGGAGGGGTGAGGGAGAGCAGCTGGAGAAGACAGGAAAGGTGGCAAGAGAGATGGGGGGCACGAGCCCAGCCACACTGCCAGTGGTCACTCCTCTCTGTCCCAAGCTTCCCTCACAGCTGTCATCCTCAACTGACCCTTGCCACGGCCCATCTATGACCCTACCACAGTCATCTCTATTTGAGAGAGCACTGCTGACCTCCACAAATGAAGACACCAATTTGGAAAGGGAGGAAAAGGGAAAGAAAAGCAAACACGGTGTGTTCAAGATTGGCTCGGCTTTTCTTTCTGGATCTTCTCTTCAGGGACAACTACCAACACCGCCTCCCCACCACCACCACCACATGACTTGGCAGGGACATTAAGAGGAATTAAGGAGCAACTGGGCAGCTGGGTATTGGGCTTAGACACCAGGATGTTCTGAGAGAAACCTTGGGGAGGGAGAGGGAAATGAAGAGTGGGGCGAGCGATTAGGTGTAGACTCTGCACTCTACATTGTAGAGAGAGGAGACAGGAGAGAAAATGAGGACCAAGTAGGGAGGCAAACATCAGAGCTACAAAACTGACAGCAGGTGCCTTGTGCCGGGCATAGGGGAGGCATGAAACCCCAGCTAACACGCAAGGCATCACCCTGGGGTGTCTATCCACTGCAGCTACACATGAGGAATGTGGCCATTAGCCCCACTGTGACAGACTAAGAAATTAAGGGATATGGCCAAAGGGACACAGCTAGTGAGTGGCTTAGCTGGCTTAAACCCAGGTATATCCTATGATGGAGAGTGATGGAGACACAAAGGCAGGAGGTACAAGGTGAAGGAAGAGGGAGATGGGGCCCAGGAAGTAGGCAAGGGCAGGATGCTCACCAGGAGGCAGGTAGCTCCGATACACCCGAGTCACTTGCTCAGCCAGCCCAGGCAGCTCACAGATTCTCAGGGCCCGGATGAAGACCTCTACCCAGCCAACCCGACGCTGGAGCTTATGGAAGAGGTCCCAGAGTGTGTCCCGGTTCCCTAGTTGCTTGTAGGAAGCCCTCAGTTGATCCTGGAAGACAGCACAGTCGCCCTACTCAGGCCGGGTAGCCTCGTCTTTCCTCCACTCAGACGAGAGCTACTGCTAAGGGAACACTAAGAAAGCCACAAGCCGAAGGCAGCTACCTGGAACTGGGTGAGAGGCAGGACAAGGTCAGGGTGGTAGCCCACGTAAGGAATGAGGAAGCACAATCAACAATCAAGGCAGCTGCCAGGAAAAGGCAATGGCCATGTTTAGGTTTGCAGGCACTGTCCCATTAAACGCTATGATCATCCCTACTTTACGCATGAAGAGGCAGAGGCTTAGCAGAAGCAAAGCAGCAAAGGGGGCAAAGCTTGAATCAGGCAGCTCCTAAAGCAAAGGGAAGAGTGAGTAAGTTGAGAAGGAAAAGGGGCCCAGCAACAATGGGATGAAAGGGGCAGAGAAGAAGAGGGAGGGGATCAAGAATGGGAAGCCAAGCAGGCAAGAGTAGAAATACGACAGCAGCTGTAGTTTTTTTTTTTAATTATTCATTGGGATTCCCCACTTGAAAACAACCAATCAGCTTGTTAGTCTCGACACTGGGGAAGCTGAAGTAGGATATTACGGGTTTGGCACCAGACTGGGCTATCTAGGAAGACCTTGTTTGAAGAAAGAGAAAGGAAGGAGGAAAGAGGACAGGAAGGGAGAGGAGGAGGAAGAAAACTTGGTAGAGGATTAGGAGGAAGAGAGGAAGAGAGAAACAAGTGACAAACCACAAGAAATATTTACTACACACTAGATGGCAGGGTGAGGCCAGGAGACTCTCCGGGGTGCCCAGCCCTGCACTGTAACACTGTCTGCACGAGAGCCTGCACAGAAAACAAGAGTACTCCGGAGACCCCGACAGCACACAGGCAGCTGCTGGGAGCTCAGCTATGCCATCTGAGAAGAGCCCAAATATAAACCACTTCACTGGCTGGTGAGAGCAGGAGCCCGTAGTAAGTCGTGGTGGAGTCCTCAGAACTGACACTCCAGACTCTATCCCAAGATAAGATCCTAGGAGAGAACGAATCAGAGCCAAGTAGGACCAAGCTCCAAGGACAGGCAAAGAGAAGGTTCTGAAAAATAGGGAGCCAGAACCTGGACACCTGCCGATCTGGGGTCAAGTTCCTGAGTGCAACACAATAACAAAAGGAAACCAACAATGTTAGGAAAGCCACCGTTAACACACTCGATCTAAACGTCAGAAAAGCAGGGCAGGCAGCAGCCTCAGAGGCCTTGGTCTGGGAGAAGGGCTGGGAGAGGCTGAACTTGGATGGGACAGCTCTGTGCTCAGAGCACTGGCCAGCTGTGGCTTCCCTGGCTCACCTGGTCACTGGGTGTGAGGCAGGACAGGTAAGGCAGGATTTCCAAAACGTCAACACAGCAAAACTTGCTGTGGTTGTCGCGGATATACTTATAGGTCTTCTCTTCGGCAAATGTCATGGCTGTTCAGCTTCTGGAGTGGATTCCGGCCCTGGGAAGGACGGGATGGATTGAGAGAGACAGACTGGAAGAAAGATCACACAGGGCAACAAGTTGGCAGAGGGTTGGAAGAAGGCAAATCTTTCTCAGCTTTGAGGATCTTTGCTTTTTTTTTTTTAAACTTTCACTTTTTTAAAAAAGATTTCCTTTATTAATTTTAAAAAATTATGTGTATGTGTGTGGGCATGAGTATGGATATGTGCATAAGGGAAGGGGCCTGGGGAGGCCAGAAGAGGGCACTGGACCCCTGGAGCAAGAGTGACAGGAAGTCGTAAGCTGCCAGACGTGGGTGCCGGGATCTGAACTCTGGTCCTCTGAATAGCAGTGCACTCTTCTAAGTACCGAGCCACCTCTCCAGCCCCAAGATTTATTTATATTTTATGTGCATGGGTGTTTTGCCTGCATGTACGTCTATGCAGCACATGCCTTCAGAGGCCAGCAGATGGCATCGGCATCCCATCCTCTGGAACTGAGTTACAAATGGTAGTGAAATGCAATCTGGGTGCTGGGACTCAAATCCAGACCCTCTGGAAGAGCAGTCAGTGTTCTTAACCACTGAGCCTTCTCTCCAGTCCCCTTAGGCTTAAAATTTTTTTAAATGAGCCACTTTTAAATTCTTATTCACTTACTATTGTATGTGTATGGTGGGTGTGTGAATGTGTGCACATAGTCACAAGCACACATACGAAAATCAGAGGACAGTTTTTGAGTTGATTCTCTCCTTCCATTTTGGGTTTCAGGGCTTGAACTCAGGTCATCAGGATAAAACAGCAAACACTTTTACCAGCTGAGCCATTTCACTGACCCTAAATGTAAACCTTCCTCACCTCTCCCCTCCCCCCGAGATAGGGTTTTTCTGTAGCTTTGGAGCCTGTCCTGGCACTAGCTCTTGTAGACCAGGCTGGCCTCGAACTCACAGAGATCTGCCTGCCTCTGCCTCCTGAGTGCTGGGATTAAAGGTGTGCACCACCACTGTCAGGCCCTAAATGTAAACATTTAAAGTCCCTTAAATGCAAGCAAGCATTACTTATGCAGCATCCTCCCCATCAGGGCTAAGGAAGACAAGGTCTCTGTGCCCTCCACAGGCATCCGACCTATGTGCTATGGAGTGGAAGTGGTCACAGATCAGTTAACACATCTCCAGATGACAAGTCCAGAACGTATTCTGATTACGGAGAAAGTGAAATGAGACAATGGGACAGAACTCCAGGAGGAAATGCCCTGCTTAAACTGAGTGCTCAAAGAAGGCCCTCTGATTGGTAGCATCTAAGCTGTGCGGTCCTTCACTGTGAAAAGAGTTCTGAGCAGAAGGCAAAGCAGATGCGAACGTTTAAGCTGTGTGTTTCTCCTCAAACACCCCAGATTCTAAGTGCTTGGAGTGTCTGAAGAGAAAGCAGGTGAGTGAAGTGGTTTGGAATGCTAAGAGGGGCGGAAGTCAAGGTCAAAGAGGAGGCTAGCAGGTAAGGTGTTGTGGGAAGGACTTTGAGTTTTACTTGGAGTGAAAGAAGGAATCACGGGAAAGCAGAAGCTCGACTTGCATTACAAAACTCTCTAGGGGAAAGCCCAGGATGGAAGGAGAGTGACAAGTCAAGAGACCAATGGGGGAGGGGGAATGATGATGATGATGATAGGTGTGGCCAGGATGGCAATCACAGAAGTGGGGCTGGGCAGCTACATTCCTGGTGCTTTGTGAACACAGGAGGTGGGGGGGGGGGAACGAAACATTGTTTCTTGGAAGCTGGGGCAGGGGAGGTGCCACCTCCTACACTAGGGAAGTCAGGGGGAAGTCACAGAAAGACAGCAGCACTTCAGAGCTCCATTGTGACAAGGTCAACTTGTTGCTGGAATCCAAGAGTATTGTTCAAAAGAGAAGAAGCAAGGGGGAACCAAGTGCTCTTTATTGAGTATGGGACCTCTGGGAGACAGCTCCAGGTGCAGGCCCTGGCCACACGTGAGAGGAAATACCAGTTCTGCCTAGTGACCCACGACTCACTGTATCACCTGCACTGCTAACTACCAAATGCTACATTCCTCTGGAGAGCCACAGATGAAAGGCCAGGAGATCAGGGAGGTAAGATTAAGGTCTGTTGAGCCTCAGGGGAGATGAAGAGAGGAGTTCTAGGGCAGACAGGCTGATAAAATCTTGGCCCCTACTTCCCCAGATCACCTAGAAAGATATGATGAGGAAGTCAAACTAGCAATTTTCAGCAGTTCCAGCCACAAGCCTGAAGGCACAGATGGGGGGCATGCAGTCCCACCAAAAGCAGAGAAGACTCACATTTGTTCTCTCTTGAGGGTTCAAGTTACCAGGAGCAGCCTACGGTTCTTTCAGCTAGTCCTCTGACACAATCATAAGCAAGAAGGAAGTGATACTATACTGACCCTGTGGGATTTGAACCCAGACCTTTTGCCGAGGACTAACAGAGCACAGAGGCCCCAGCAGCAGGAGAGTCACAAAGTCCATCTTTATGTCAAGGTCACTGCCTGGGGATGCGTCTACAGGGTGAGAAGATGCAGCTCTTAGGTTCTCGGAAGCATAAATCTCTCAGACACAGCTGGCATTAATGCCACCCTCACTGACATTCACCTGAGTTCTGAGATCAAGGCCGAACGCCCTTCAGGTTTTGGAAGCTTGATGGTATCCAAAGAACATTTTTTTCTTTCCTTTGTTTTCATCCTTTTCCTCAAACTTCTTTCCCATCAGAGAAAAGGAGATGGCAAGGGTATCCTGGACACAGCAAAGCTTCCGACCTGACTTCCACTGAGTTTCCGACCGGGTCACGGAAAGAAATATCCACACTCCCGAGGGACACGTCTCCTGGCCTCAAACTAGATTCCCGACGGGGCCCAGGTCTCCAAGTGCAGGGAGGCTGTTTTGAACAGGTGTCACTGCCCACAACTGTCCAGACCCGGGATCAGACCGTACTCCGGGCTGGCAGGCCTACTCCCTGGCGCGACTGTCACAGGTCGTTGCGCGCAGCCAGGCCTCGCTGGAGTCATCAGGGCCAGGGAGAGGCAGGAGGCACGCCGAGGTTCCTCCTGTCCAGCCCGGGCAAACGCTCTGCACCACCTACCTGCTCACTAAAGGTGCCGGATGCGGCTCGAGAACTCCCAGGGTCCCGAATCCGAGTGGGGCGGGACGCGCTCTCCCATAATCCCGTCAGGAGCCTCCCCGACCCCGCGTGCCCAGGCCCTGGGCGCTCCTGCGGACTCCGCGCCGCACTGGGCTCCGGCCAAGGCTCCCTCCCTGAAGGGCAATGGTGAGCACTGAGCCCTGACAACCCACTCCCGGGCTGCGAACTTACCGAGAGGAAACCAGACTAATCAACAGGTTGACCCGCGTGCTACCGTACAGAACCCTCCCAGATCGAGAGGGCGGCGCTGGGAGAGCCGCGCGGCCATTGGCCAGGGCGCGGGGAGGAGCTACGAAGGGGTGGGGCCGGAAACTCTGCCATTGGCTGGGCAGAGTCTGGACAGGATGGGTCGGAAGCAAGGTTGTTGGTTGGGCAGGAAGGCCCTGAGCCGGGGAGGGCCATTCAGGTCGTGAGGCATTTGGATGCGCCCCGAGTTTCATGAGCCGCTGGTCTAGCTGCTAATGCTCTATAGACCTTGCTTGGGGGCCGTTCTGGTTCCCTGCAAAGGCGTGAAGGAGCAGATTATTCTCTCCCTGCTTGGTCTAGAGCAGTTTCCACGGGAAGTCCAGAAGCCCAGAAAACTGGCGTTCTTGGATCCATCCCACCTCCTCAAGCAAAGCAGCTCTCCTTTTTAGCCAGATGCTGAAGGAGAGAGGGTTACCAGTGCCTGGCACGCAGTGCTCCATAAAGGTGCGGTATCACACAAATGTCACAGGGGCGTGAGTGCCTAGCCAGGCGACACGAGTAGGGACTGTGGGAATATGATGCAGCAAAAGACTTTGAGCTATGAACCCATGTCTGGCGCCTTACAACCGCTTTTGACTCCAACATCAGGGTGACCCGACACCTCTGACCTCTGGCACCTGTAGTCACTCTATACCTACCCAGGTAGTTAAAGCTAAGATTAAAATCTTTTTAAAAACTACATCCACTAGGAAAGGTTCTAGTGTCTTTATTCTTAAGCAAATTATGAAACCAATTAAAATGTGCATCCGTAAAATGAATGGGCAGACTGTGACCAGTACACAGCAGTGAGAGGTCACAGCTTCTTGATGCACATAACAGGGGTAGGATCTCACTTAGTGGAATGGGTGGGGTGGCTAAATGGTGCTCAGCTAACAGAGACAAAATAATGCATGCTTTCTGTTTCCAGTCACATGTTTCAACAAGAAGTAAAAACTAATGTCCTTCAACAGAAGTCACATTTGTTACAGCGGCACGCCCCAAGGGTAGACATGCCCTATAGTTTGTCTGTGGGTGCTGAGTGCACAGCTTGAGCATATGTGAAAATGTATCAGCAAGGCTGGTGAGATGGCTCAGCAGGTAGAGGCACTTGCTGCCAAGCTTGAGAATCCGAGAGAAGGAGAATCAGTTACCAACGTATTGGCGTCTATGCCCCCATAAATGTAAAACATGAAAAATTTTGAAAACTGCATCCATGGCATACTTAATGGTACACTTTCCTGTCTAGCACAGATTCTAAAGAGAAGCCTGAGGGATTCCATGGGAAATCACTACTGCTGCCAAACAGAATTAGTTATGTGACAATGATTCTGGAACTCTGAGATTTTATTACTGTGTGTCTTATTTAGGGTTCCTATTGCCGTGAAGAGACACTATTACCATGGCAGTTTACTTGAGGGCTGGCTCACAGTTCAGAGGTTTAGTCCATTAGCCTCATGGTGGGAAGTATGGCAGTGCAGGCAAGCATGGCGCTGCAGAAAGGCTGAGCTCTTTCTACATCTGGATCCTCGGGCAGCAGGCAGGGAGAGTGAGTCACTGGGCCTGGGTTGAGCTCCTGAAACCCAAAACCCACCTTCCTCCAATAAGGCCACATCTTCTAATAGTGCCACTCCCTATGAGCCTATGGGGGCCATCCTCATTCAAACCACCACACTGGTCTTGGGAGTTGTGTAGACAGTTCACAACTTTCAGCATACACAAATCACACTTAAGTTTGACCCTTGGGACCAACACAGTGTAAGAACTCCTGAAAGCCGCCTTCTGAGCTCCACAACTGTCTGTCCCCTTGACTACAAAATAAATTTGAAAACGTAAAAAGCAGTTTTTTAAAAAGTGAGTATTAGTGATTTAGTCTTGCTGCAAGCAACCAGGACCTCTGTATTTTGTTTTGAGCTCTAATATACAGTTTACCTGAAGGTCAGAGGGCAGAGGACACTAGGACACTAGCACTAGGACAGGCAGTGGTGGCACACATCTTTAATCCCAGAATTGAGAGGTGGAAGCAGGAAGATCAGGAGTCCAAGGCCACACTGGTTTACAGAGGTTTAACCAGTCTAAAAGAGAAACAGAGCTCACACCTTTGAACCCAGCACTTGGGATCACATGCCTTTAATCTCAGCACTAGGGAGGTGGAGAAAGGAAGTAATATGGCTGGGCGGAGAGAGGAGACAGGAGCTCAGCCCCTTTGGTCTGAGAATTTGGTAGAGGTAAGAAGTCTCTCTAGTGGCTTGCTCTTTTGTTTCTCTGATCTTTCCGTATTTACCCCGATATCTGGTTCCAGGTTTTTATTATTAAGACCAATTAGAATTCACCATACAGAACTTTTACTTAATTCTTGCTAAAAGAGTATCAGGCCTGTGAGAACTGGCTTCTAATTGTGGTTATAGTTAGCCCTGTCCTTTCTGGACTTTGAAGGGCATTGGAACAATCCAGCTTCATGGCCTGCCTGGTTCCCAATCACCTGTCAACAGCTCTTAAAAATGCCTTTGGCATTCTGAGCCCCTCTGGCCACATTCCAAATGTGAAATTCATCTGGGTATGGATAAAGAACATGTCTCTCTTAGAACATTCTACTGGATAGCACTGGCATGCAGAATAATTTCAAAAATGTTGAGGTCATGTGATACAGTCTATGACCCCAGCACTTAGGAGGCTGAGGTAGAGGCAAGACCATTTGAAGTTTGAAGTCAACTGGGCTACATAGCAAGACCTTGTCTCAAAAAATAAAGTGGGGGGCGGGGGATAATGTGAAAGTCATGAAAGTTAGGGAAAGATCGGAGAACTATTCCAGACTAAAGGAGACCAGAGTGGTATAATAACTGAATGCAAGGTGCCATCCTAGGCCGGGTCCCGAAACAGAGAAAGGACAGTAGTGGGGCAAAGGTGAGATCTGCACTACGCTCTGTCATGTTACTGTTCTGTTCGACTGATGCCCTGCAGCTGGACAAGAGGCACGTGGGTTCCTTGGAAACTGTAAACCTGAAATTCTTTCGAAATTATACAGTAAGATAAAATGAAGTTTATGGACTCCGGTTATTCATATTACTTTGTCTTATTGCTTGTTATTTCCCCTGTTCCATAGCCACAATTCACTGTTGTCCAGGTCAGGGCTCCAAGGGGACTGTGTCCACTATGATGGCTCAGCAGTAATCAGCTCATGTTGTCCCGAGAGAGCGGTGGTTAGGCCCAGAGACAGTGACAGAGGACCTCAAAAAGGGCAGCATCCACATCCTTCAGCCCTGCAGGAACTCTTCTAGACCCGAAATAAAATTATCCCTGCCTTTACAGCTCCATACCAAATAATGTTTTCGTTTAAATGATGACTTCATTTATTTATTCACTGGTTTTTCGAGGCAGGGTTTTTCCATGTAGCCCTGGCTATCCTGGAAACTCGTTCTGTAGACCAGGCTGGCCTCGAGCTCACAGAGATCTCCCTGTCTCTGTCTCTCGGGTGTTGGGATTAAAGGCATGCGCCACTACTGTTTGACTCACTTATTATGTTTTAAACACAGTGTGGCCCAGGTATGAGCTATGGTGGAAAGACATGGCCCGTGGATGGTAATTTAAATTCTTTTTTTTTTTTTACATTTTTTTAATTGATATTTCTTGAGCTCTACATTTTTCTCTGCTCCCCTCCCTGCCTCGCACCTCCCAGCTTCAATTCTCCCCCAAGGTCCCCATGCTCCCAATTTACTCAGGAGATCTTGTCTTTTTATATTTTCTATTTCCCATGTAGATTAGATCTATGTAAGTCCCTCTTAGTGTCCGCATTATTGTCTAAATTCTCTGGGATTGTGGTTTGTAGGCTGGCTTTCTTTGCTTTATGTTATTAAAAAAAACACCTATGAGTGAGTACATGTGATAATTGTCTTTCTGTGTCTGGGTTACCTCACTCAAAATGATATTTTCTAGCTCCATCCATTTTGCTGCAAAATTCAAGCTGTCGTCATTTTTTTCTGCTGTGTAGTACTCCACACAGAAATGTGTGGACAAAAATGTACCACATTTTTCTTACCCATTCTTCGATCAAGTGGCATTTAGGTTGTTTTCAGGTTCTGGCTATGATAAACAAAGCAGATATGGACATAGTTGAGCACATGTCCTTGTGGTACGATTGAGCGTCCTTTGGATATATACCCAAAAGTGGTATTACTGCATCTTGAGGAAGGTTGTTTCCTAATTTTCTGAGAAATCGCCACACTGACATCCAAAGAGGTTGTACCAGCTTGCATTCTCACCAGCAATGCAGAAGTGTTCCCTTTTCCCCACAACCTCTCCAGCATAAGTTGTCAGGTAATTTAAATTCTAACACTCACTACAGCAAGATCTATTTTATAGTTAAAAGGCAAATGGGGAGACATTCCTTATGCCCAGGTTTCCTTCTCCTTTAAGGGACAACACCAACTTCTACAAAGGCTACAAACTGGATCACAATTCAGAACGTTTATTCCTATGGGCAAGTCTGCCTTAGCACTTATATACTTGCTATCAATTCAAAGTTCATGGTGGGGGTGGCTAGAGCAGTGGCTCAGTGGTTAAGAGTACTGACTGCTCTTCTAGAAGACCTAAGTTCAATTCCCAGCACCCACATGGTTTATCATAACCCTCGGTGACTCTAGCTCCAGGGGGTCCCATACCTCTTCTGACCTCTGTGGGTACCAGGCACACAAGTAGTGTACAGATATACATGCAGGTATCTCTCCCTATACTCATAAAATAAAAATTAACATCTTTTCTTGTGATCTGTGGAGGAACGAAGCTAAACAAACCAGATCTTATAGTACAGAGATTATTAGAGAATTTTAAACTTTAAAATGTTAGATACTTACCTATCACTTATAGAGCACAGGTGAGGTGACCTCAAAACAGCTGTCTCACAAGAGCCACCCCAGCATGATGACCTCACGGAAGCTGCATTGTGGAGCCCCTCTTAACCCCCTTCCACTTCTTGTAACTCTAGTATATCCCAAGATCACTTGTGGTTGGGGGAGGGGAGGAAAAGGGGTAATGGTTGCAGCCCAACCCTCACCCCTGCCTGCCGATGCAGCTAGCTCTATTATCTTTAACACAGACCTGGCTACTTCTGTTCCGTTCTGCTCAATTAGCTGCAGGGTTAACTGGGTGAAGGTAAGCTCTACTCCAAGATGCCAATCATATTATACAAAGAACCTTTCCCTGGTCATGACTCTTCCAGGTTCCAGCTTCCTATCATGGGGCCATACATGCCCTCAGTCCCCTTGCTACCTGTTGGTCTAGAGCCCGTCCCTCAGTGTGAGGTGTTCAGCTCAGGAAATAGAAGTTACTCTGGATGCTTCATGCATGGAAAGGCTTGGCTGCCTGAAACATAATTTATCTTCAGTGAATCACATCTATCAATTAATCTATGTGAGTGTGTATGTGTGTGTGTGTGTGTGTGTTACAAATGCACGCCACAGCACATGCGTGGAAGTCAGAGGATAACCTCAGGTGTCATCTTCACCTCCTACCTTGTTTGGTGGCAGGGCCTCTCTGCAGCTGTAGGCTCCAGGCTATCTAGAATGAGAAGGGCGGAAGTAGCAGGCACCTTTGAGCCCAGCAGAGGCAGAGGCAGACAGATCTCTGTGTGTTCAAGGCCAGTCCAGTCTGTAGACAGAGTTCCAGGACAGCCAAGGCTATCCAAAGAAACCTTGTCTCAAAAAAACAAAAAACAAAAAACAAAAAACAAAAAAACCCTAGAATGTTCCAAATCTCAAAAACTCCTCCCCCACACTTTAAAAAAAGGGAGAGGGGGGAGTCTCACATAGCCCAGGCTATTTTGATATTTAAAACTGATACTTACAAACTTGCTATATAACAAAGGATGACCTTGAACTTTTCTCTTGTAAGGTTTTCAGTGTGTGTGTGTGTGTGTGTGTGTGTGTGTGTGTGTGTGTGTGTGTTCATGAATCACAGAGTAGCCATGAAGATTGTAAGCTAGGACACAATAAGAAACCACAGAAATGATCACTCCTCCATGGTTTGGGAGGTTTTTGTTGTAAATATGAAAGAGAAAGAAGCCAGAGCATCTGGAAGAGTCCAGAGTAGAGAGAAAAAAGACAATCTTGCTGGGCTATCTCCTGGGAGCAGAGAAAACAGGAAGGAGAAGCAAGAGAAGACGGTGGTGTGGGAGGTGACCTTGGCATGATAAGATAGCAGAGCCTGGGAAGGGGAGTGAGTTGTAATCTGGAGCGGCTTGGGAGCTAGCAGAGTGGGGTAGCGTGGGGGAGGTGAGAACCAGAAGGCTGGGGGCTGGAGAGATTGCTCAGTGGTAAAGAGCATTGCCTGCTCTTCCAAAGGTCCTGAGTTCAATTCCCGGCAACCACATGGTGGCTCACAACCATCTGTAATGAGGTCTGGTGCCCTCTTCTGGCCTGCAGACATACACACAGACAGAATATTGTATACATAATAAATAAATAATAATTAAAAAAAAAAGAACCAGAAGGCTGGTGTGGGCGTTGATATTCCTAAGAGGTGCGCATCACTAGAAACTGAGGGAGCCTGGAGGTCAGCTTTGGACTTTGGTATGTAACCACGGGTATATGGCAAAGGAACTGGTCCTTTCTGGCAGGCAGAAACCCATTTCACAGGTTCCTGAGGAATGCTGCCTGTAGGTTTTGACCTATCTTCCAAAAATCCTTCTATAGTCCAGCTTGAGTTGAACCTAGACTATCATTTTGTACCAAGTCAGGGTCCAGCCCTTTCTTGGCGTGCTTGGAGTTTTCCCCTTTGGACAACCTGTGAGAGTTCTCTCCCTCCACCATGTGGGTCCAAGGGATCAAACTCAGTTCATCAGGCTTGGCAGCCAGTGCCTTTCCCATCCTAGCATCTGTGGCCCCCACCTTGAGTTTCTGATCTTCCTGCTTTTACCATCTGCATGCTGAGGTTACTAGTGTGCTAACACCATCACACCCCGCCCCCCCGCCCCCACCATTCAATCAATTTTCTGATTCCATCACTGTTAAGGATTTGAATGTAAATTTCCCCCTAGGCTTACATTTTGAACTCGTGAACCCCAACCAATGAAGTTCTGGAAACTTCAGATGTGGAGCCTAGCTGGAGGAAGTAGGTCCCTGCCAAGTGTGCTTCTGGAGATTGCACCGGTCCTTTTGGTTCATTTCAACTGAGGATGGAGATGAGAGACGGTTTGGCTCAAGAAAGAGGAAGAATAGGATCACACACAGCTTGTTATGAGGGTCTTGGGATCCAAACTCAGGGCCTTACTGCTTCCAGGCACACTCCTTACCACTGGGCCATCTCGCATGCTCACATTCCTTCTGTTCCTCTGCTCATATTGGAACATCTGGGCTCTCTCGGGTTTGGATGGGTAGGAGTAGAGCTGCTATGACCATCCACAGGAAGTCTTTCTGTGGGATTACACGCTCATTTCCCTTGAGTAAACTGCCCGACGGAGGCTGAGCTATATTTAGCTTTATCAGCAGTTCCAGACTTCTCCAAAGAGACTCCATCGCAGCAGTGCAGTGTGAGAGTCAGTTGATGCAGTCTGGGCCACTGAGAGCACAGGCTTAAGTGTATCTGAACTACACAGTATGAGCTTGTCCCTAAAATAATAGTAACAAAAAAACAAAACGAAACAAAAAACAACCTTGGGGCTGGAGAGATGGCTCAGCGGTTAAAAGCTCTGGCTGCTCTCCCAGAGAATCTGGATTCAATTCCCAGCACCCACATGGCAGCTCACAACTGTCTGTAACTCTGTTCCACAGGATCCTATACCCTCTCACAGAGGCAAAAGACCAATGTACATGAATATATAAAAATTTAAAAAAAATTTAAAGTTAATGGTTAAAACAAAGCAAAACAACCCAAATCTCATGAAAACCTTGATCAAAAGTGGAGATGGCTGCTGCCATCCTCATTCACATGGCTCTGAGAAGCCTCTTCGGGGCTGAAGAAGAGGCAAGAATGCTGGGAGCCGACGTTGACCCTAGCGTCATTGTTGTTACGTGACATCAGGAAGACGTCCTCTGTCCCTCAAATAGCTCATGTGGCTATTTAATTATTAGTCATATAATAATTGACTCACTTCATATTTACAGTTCCCGCTACCAAGATGTCTGGAGGTGGGATAGTTCTTTGTTCCCCAGCCTTTCTCCCTGGAAGAAGGTAGAGGAGCCCGCTGTGTTCAGTGGTTTGTCTGGTGACATGGGGCTGACCTCCCTGTGGCAGCTCTGATCTTACTTGGTGTTGCGTGATGCTATTCCTGGGAAGACACGAACTTCAGGCCCTATCTATTCACCCCAGATAGGGAGTCTATGGCAGTCTAAACTTTAGACTCCCGAGTAAGGATCCCACGTAATTCAACGTGGTAAACCAGTATGTTTTATTGAGGTTACTTACAAGAAGGAACTCAGAGGCAGCTGCATCACCAAAGAGCTCCCAGCATGAGTGACAGCTCAGGAGAATTGGGGAAACAGAGCACGCTGCACACTGTGCAGGCAGCTCAGCAGGCTGGAGACTCTCTTCCAGGCAGCTTATGAGGTCTGAACCTCTTCTGGGCAGCTGTGTTAATAAGCAGTGCTTACTGCTTATATATGCTTGGGGAGGAAAGGGCCCAGTGAGTCTGGTCAGTTTCGGGGACTTCCTGAAGACTTCGTTCGAGTTGTTTACTTGACAGCATCTCTTCAGGATGGAGCATCTTCATCTCGTCTTCGTATATCTTGTGTCTTTTAAATTTTTTTTTAATGAGTGTCTTGCTTGTATATATGTCTGTGAGCTGTGTGCCTGCCTGGTGCCTGAAGAGGCCAAAAGGGGTGTTGGATCTTCTGGAACTGGAATTATGGCCAGCTGTGAACTGCCATGTGGGTTCTGGGAATTGAACCTGGGTCCTCTAAAGAACAGCCAGGGCTCCTAACCTCTGAGTCATCTTTCCAGACCCAACATCTCCAGCCTTAACAAGCTTCTGTATAACACTGACTGTTTTATCTAAGAGGAGACTGCTACACAATGCTTGGGCTCACTTATACCTGAAGGACTCTAGCAGGCTCAAGCATGGCAAACATGGCTATCGGGCTTTGTCTGTCCCCCATTTCCTCTGCCTTGCTAAGAACTATTAGATTACATTCTCAAAACTATTCACCACGGTCTATTCCCTTATTTGGCCACTTCCTCTTCCTACCAATGTCCAGCTACCAAAGTATTGAAGTCCAGCAATCAAAAGCCCCCTTTTGGCTCACCTAATTAACACACCCAATTAAAATGAACCAACTCATCCTAACACAGGGTTTCCCCTTTTACCATTTGCCTACCGGCCACACCTGTCTCCTCTCTATCCAGAGGAAGTCCTTAGTCCCTTCGGGGGCAAATATTCCTCCCTCTCTCATTCCTTTCCCCTTCTCCCTCGTTCTCGATCTCCCATGTTGGTCTCTTATTCCCTGCCCTCTGTCCGTCTGGAACAAATAAATCTCCTTTGTGCTGAGAATCTGGTCTTGGGCATCTGTGCTGACAGCGATATCAATCCTCTTTTCAGTCAGTCATCTCTTCTGTTAGGAGCTGATAGTCTCAGATGGACTCAGCTGGGATGATTCTCTTTAACTGCAATAGTCATTTATTGTTGTGGGAGGGGTGCACATGCCAGAGAGAGAGAGAGAGAGGAGAGAGAGTCAAAGGAAACTGTAGGTTCAGTCAGTTTTCTCCTTTCATCTTTACATGGGTTAAAGAGATTGAAGCTAGTAGGTCCCAGGGTTTGTGCAGTCTTACCCACTGAGTCATCTCACCAGCCCAGGGATGGTTCTTTTCACTTTACGTAGCTTCTTACCCTTCATCAGCCTGAACCACACGTTTTTCATGGCAGAAAGCAAAATGCCCATGAGACCTTGACTCTAAACTGGCAGTGTCATTTCTGCCACATTGTACCGGGCCGATGCAAGTAAGGAAGCTAGCCCAGCCCAGACACACTAAGGACAGAAACCCTCCACCCTCTCAAGGGGTGATGCCAGGCCACATTGTCTGGTGTGATAAAGCATGGGGTGGAAAAGTACGGAAATCTCTAAGGACCGCCTACAGCACCCATATCCCTCCTCCCCCACAGACCCAGCTGCAAACCTTGAGTCTTTGGGTTTTCTTTGCTTCCTTTCTTTCCTTTTTTTGAAACAGGTTTCTCTCTGTAGGTCTGTTGTTTTAGAACTTGCATATAGACCAGGCTGGCCTTGAACTCAGAAATCCACTTGCCTTTGCCTCCCAAGTACTAGGATTAAAGGTGTGCGTCACCCCACTGACATTTGGGCTTTCTTGTCTGTGGAAAAAAAAAAAAATTCCTGCGTTTGACTATTATCCCTTCTGTTTTGTGGTGCTCCCTTAGTTGGTTAGCTTTATTTTCCAAGTTTTCTAGTTAATATTTAAGATAAGAGTAATATCTGGAGCTGGGTATAGTGGCACACACCTTTAATCCCTGCATTTGAAAGACAGAGGAATGTGAATCTCTGTGAGTTCAAGCCAGTCTGATTCACATAGTGAGTTTCAGGACAGCCAGAGCTGTATCGAGAGTTCTTGTCTCAAACAAAACAAAACAAAACAAAAACAAAAACAAAAACAAAACAACAACAGTAATAATAATATATGGAGTCAGGTGTATGTCAGGTCCAAAGGGTACTCCAAACCCCCAAACTTCAAAGATACTCCAAATATCCAGAAATGAGCTTACTTGGACTTGGAGGATTTCTGGTGGTTACATGAAAGCTGACATCCTCAGGAACTTGGGAAACGAGTTCTTTTCCACCAAAAGAAGTAATTTCCTTACCTCAGCCAGGAGGGGCACATGGGTACTGTGGCACCTATCAGCATAGCAAAACCTATGCTGGCCTGTATCACTGGTACCGGGTATACACTTCAAAGTCCACACTAACTAGCATCCTGGCCCTTCTCACCTCCTCCCTCCCCTAAGGTCCCTCTAGCTGAGGGCTTCCCTCCCCAGCTACTCTCTTATAACCCTGCTATCCTCATTGTGTTCTCTCTGCGCGGCTCCTGCTTCACTCGCTAAGTTTTCTCTAGTCTCTGTCCCCTGGTATTCTCTCTCTCACAGAGAGCCCTACCATGTCCAGTCTACTTCTTTCTCTCTCTGATCTGGACTCTTCTGGATGTCTCTGGTTGTTCCCTATCTCATCTGCAATAAAAACGTCCTCCTTAACCATACCATGGAGTGGTCACGCCATCAGTTTATACAATGTTGTGATTGACGTGTGCCTGTTACCCCACACTTGGGAGATGGAAGAGAGAGTTCAGGTCAACTTCCATTCATAGGGAGTTTGAGGCCACTCTGGGGTACTGCCCAGGGACAGGTACTGAGACTCTGTTCCCCACTGCCCTTGGAGGTCTTTGCACAGACTCTTTATTTTTAATTATGCCTGACTGTGAGGGTTTTATTTTTGCCTTTTAAAGTGGTTAGGATCTTTTCTTTATCTTTGCTAACCTGCTGTCTGTGAACCCAGGAAACTGCTGTTCTGTGCTTACCCTCTTACTGTCAGCTCTGCTTGGGCCTCTCAGAGGCTGAAGTTTGCTCTGTCTGCCAGCACTTTGTTCTGATCATGTAGGCACCCAAGACCATATGAAATGGAGGACTGCAAAGGCTTTTAATGTCGTTTCCAGTCCACCAAATGTTCATTCCCAAGCAATGCCCAAATGCCGCCCCTCTCCTGCCACAGGTGAAATCTTTGCTGCTCCAAATGCTCGTGGCTCTTTAAGCTGACAAGGCCAGGCTGAAACTGCTTTGACCTTGCACCAGAAATCAGGTGACTGTTCCTAAGAGGGAGGAGTTCTGGGGCCCTTTTCACCTGTTTTCCCTCAGGACAGAACCCATAGGTGTGTACTAATGTCCAGTTCTAGCTCTAGCCTCATCTGGAGCACTCAATGGAAGAAAGAACTCACTTTCCTGGGAACAGGACCCTTGAGCCTGCTGTTTCCGAATCCCAGGAGAGATAAATCCCTGCATGGGGCTAGGAATATAGCTCAGTGAGAGAACACCTGGGAAGCATAAAAAAGCCCTTGTTCTGTATTCAGCACTGAAGGAGAAAAGGTTGGCACATAGTGAAATTTCAGAGTTCCCAGCCTCAAGGATTCCCTAGAAACCCCGTCACAAAGCACAGGATTTTTGTCTCAAATGATAACAACACTCTACAATAGAAACTGTCAACAGGTTTGTTTCACTTTGCTCTCTGTCCAGTTTCTTCACTCTACTAAATTAATTTGAAAGAGATATGCAGCACATAGTATAGATTGATGATCACAGTAAAGAGAATAAACCAAGCACTCTCAAGGCAGAGTGGGCAACAACCGAGGGGGCCACTGCCCTGATTGACATTACAAGATGGACTTTATACTAGTTCTTAAAGTGTCTAGGGCACAAGGAGAGAGGCCCATCCTCGATGTCCACCAAGTCCATGGATATTTATCTAGCTACATAAAAGAAACAACACTGTGCATATATTTGAGTGTTCTTATCATTTTGAGATCAGGTCTTGCTATGTAACCATACTACTCAGCAACATACCCCCAACGTCCATACTCACACAGTTTTCTGAGGGACTACAGGTTAATTTCAAGGCCTGACCACAGCTTTCAAAAAACAACTTTTAAATTAAGATATTATTTGTGTGTGACAGTGTGCATGTGTGTGCCAGGAAGCACTCTGAAGATCAGAGGACAATCTTGGGTGTCCATCCTTGCCTTCTACCTTGTTTGGAAAAGGGTCTCTTTTCTATGTTGTTTGCCACCGTGTATGAGCTAGCCCACAGCACTGTCCTGTCTCTGCCTCCTTTTTGACCACAGAAGCACTGGAATTACAGATGTGGGCTACTGAGCCTGGCTTTACATGGTTCTGGGATTCAAGCTAGTCATGTTTGCACTCTAAGTGTTTAGACTCAGTGAACCCTCTCCCCAGCCCTGAACTTTAAAAGAAGAAAGTGACAATCTGAGAGTTGTTGGGAGGCAGAGGCCCCAAGTAGAGACCAAGAATGGTTAAAACCTCCTTGGAAGAACAGTTGGGAACTCTGGAGAATCAAAGTGCTGGAATTTGCCTCTCAGATTCACTTCTTAGGATCTTGGTAATAAGTGTGATACTGGTATATGGCAGACCTTTCAGAGGTAGTTAAAGTAACCCAGATATCTGAATTCAGAGCTCATTGCTGCTGGATACTTACAGATGCCAGTGAACAGAGGAAAGAACTGAATCTTGGGGCTGGAAAGATGGCTCAGCAGTAAAGAGCACATTCTGCTCATTCAGAGGACCAGGGTTTGGTTCCCAGTACCCACATGGCAGCTCCCAACCATCTTTAACTCCAGTTCCAGGGGTTCAGATGCCCTCTTCTGACCTCCAGGGAATTGCACACATATACATGGTACACACACACACACACACACACACACACCATTTATACACATAAAATAAAAATCTTAAAAAAGAAAGGAGTAAATCTTCAAACTGCACTCTTTTCTGAGAGGCTCAGTCTGAGAAGACAGAGGATTATCATTTTCCAAGTCTGTCTTCCCCTCGTCTTTAGTAGGCTGATTATATGGGGAGGGGAAACAAAAACAATCGATCACTCCAAAGTCCAGTCTGGTCTTACTCAAGTGGTTTGGCTTGGATCTGCGTTCTGCTTTTCCTTCTCCCTGTGTGTGGAATACAGGGGGCGTTCACTTACACCAAGGTTACAAAGTCTTGCATTCAGCCTGAGACATCAAGACTTCAGGTTAGGGGGCTGAAGAGATGGCTCAGTGGTTAAGAGTTCTGCCTGCTCTTCCAAAGGTCCTGAGTTCAATTCCCAGCAACCACGTGGTGGCTCACAACCATCTGTAATGAGATCTGGTGCCCCCTTCTGGCCTTCAGGGATACAGGCAGAGCACTGTATACATAATAAATAAAATTTTTTAAAAAAAGACTTCAGGTTAGCTCAGAACAAACTAGTAGATGGATATATGAACACTTTCTACCCAAGACTACAATATTCTCTTAGAATTTAGAGTATGGATATAAAGCACCCCTAGCTGTCATCTACAGCAGAGCTTTCTGTGAGGTCATGACTGGCTCCTGTCTGCTCCTCAGCTTACTGTACGGCCACCTCCCATCTCTCTCTGCCCACGTTCCAACCGCTGAATTGCCACCCACCATGAGGTTGTCACCAGAGTCAAGGTGAGGCTAGTGCCATACTTTAACCTCAAAACTGGGATTAAATAAACCTCTTTTCAGCTGGGCGGTGGTGGCGCACACCTTTAATCCCAGCACTTGGGAGGCACAGTCTGGTGGATCTCTGTGAGTTCGAGGCCAGCCTGGTCTACAAGAGCTAGTTCCAGAACAGGTTCCAAAGCTACAGAGAAACCCCATCTTGAAAAACAAACAAACAAATAAACCTCTTTTCTTTATAAATGTACCCAGCCTCAGGTATTTCATTATAGTGTTTGAAAACTGAAAAATATAAGGATCCTATAATCATCAATTATGAGATTCTTTTCTCTGTTGTTCTGTATAACTCTGTCTTCCTAAATGTCCATTAATAGTCAGCTATAACCAAAATGCAAAGAATTAGAATCAGAAATGTAGAGCAAACCATGTTTTGCAGACACAAATGTTCCCATGAGAGCTTTTTTCTTTTTCTTTCTTTTTTCTTTTTCTTTTTGGAGACAGGGAGCCTGTCCTGGAACTAGTTCTTGTAGACCAGGCTGAACTTGAACTCACAGGGATCTGCCTGCCTCTGCCTCCCAAGTGCTGGGATTAAAGGCATGTGCCACCACCACCCAGCTGCTCCATCAGATCTTGAGATGCTGGGGTGTTACTGGATATTGGCACCCCATTGCAAAGAGAGGAGGGAGCTGAAGAAGCTGAATACCATGAGAGCCAACCACCTTGGATGGATGATCTGGAACTGCCAAGAGGGAAGAGACATGGGATACAGTTGAACCTTATTTTGTAGCCTGCAGGTTCCCTCCTTAGTTAACTAAACTGCTTCCTTGCAGAACTGCTCTGTGGTTCCTTTCTCATTGTACGCAAACGACCCATCTTCCAAAAGTAACTTTCCTCTTCTGGAGTTTTCCGCTATCTGCCACAGTTAGGGTAAGGGAAGATTAACAACAGGAGATTCACCTGTTGTGCAGCTGGACTCTCTGAATGGAACAATGAAACACAACAGCTACTTAACAACCCAAGTTGGGAAAACATTTCTGAAATAAAAAAGGGCTTCGTTTTACTTTGGAAAAAATACATCACATACTGGAGAGATGGCTCAGCTGATAAAAGTGCCTGCCAGGAAGGTTGATGGCCTGAGCTTGCTCCATAGTGCAAGGGCAGTCCCACAGTGCAAGGACAGTCCCACAGCGCAAGGACAGTCCCACAGCGCAAGGGCAGTCCCACAGCGCAAGAACAATCCCACAGTGCAAGGACAGTCCCACAGCGCAAGGACAATCCCACAGCGCAAGGACAGAACTGCCCTCCAGTCTCTGCTTCTCAGAGACTAACTAACCACCACACAACCAACCACCTGTGACACACACTACAGCAAAAAGCAAGTACCATCATCCAAAGAAAGCACAAAGAAACAATTGAGGAGGAGGAATGGAGGTCTCAAAAGGAAGCCTCGTAGGATGCTTGAGCAAGTAGCAGGGCAAGGAGGTTGGGGGTCACTCAGGCGAATGCTCACGCACAGGAGGGCACTGCATCCTCAGGTGCATAGAAAGAGAAAACAAAGACAGCCATTATTTTTAATTCAAAGTAAGGTATCACCTGGGCCAGACGCCTGGCACTTGCTGGCCAGCAGACAAGAAAAGCAGCTGTGCACTCGGCTTGCCCGGCAGACATGGGCTCGGCACACACGGAGCCTCAGAATCCCCCTGCTCTGAACTGTGGTGGGGCCGGATGCAGAACAGACCTTGTTGAAAATATCCTTGATGATGTGCAAAGGGAGGGGCCAGGATTTGCCAGGGTCTCAGAGACTCCTTTTGTGCTGGGGTTATAGAGAAAGTGAACTAAAGTCTTGGCAGGCATTACATGGCTCCAGTACAGGCAGCTGGGAGGGCTGGAAGTCAAGGGCTAGCATGGTGAACATCACAGAGTGTCACATGGCAGCTACAGGTTCAGGATGTTCTGCAATTCCACTGAATTGGGAAAAGGCCCAGCTAGCTTCCTGTGCCTTCTCCCCAGGCCCCTTCCTGCCAGCTTGTCCAATCCATTTGTCCTGAGTGCAGTCACATTATCAAACTAGGGAGCAGCCTGGGCAAGAGGGAGATGCCAAACTTCTCCTTGAAGTATGTAATCTTTACCCTCCCTCTCTGTCCTTTCAAGAAGCCTCATTCTGGTGGGTGGTCAGCGGGGCCAAGCAGCACTGAATTCCTTCTCCAGGTCCTGGACAAACTGGTCATTGAGGAAAAGCAGCTGCCCATGTGGCAGGAAGCGGGCGAGGATTCCCTCAATGCGGTCAGCCCTCAACAAGAAGTTGCTACCTGGGGTCAGCAGCCGGAGGTGGTCAAGAAGGAGGCGGACCAACAGCCGAAGTGTACTCTCAGCCAGCAGCAAGTTCTCATGGGTATCCAGCACCAGGGCAAAGCCTAGTGAGAGCACACCCAGCCACACCACTGTCTGTGGCTCCTGGAAAGGGTCCCCGGCTCCCAGGTAGAAGGCTCCATGGGGAGCCTCATGCAGAGACACAGGCTCATCTGAGAACTGAGGCTGTGGGTCTGTGGAGGGACATCCAGATGCTTGCTGCTGCAGCCGGCACAGTGACTCCACCTGCCTGGAAGAGAAGTCAGGTCACTGGCAGACCACCAAGGTGCCACCCCCCCCCCCCTTCTGTCAACTTCCAATGTAGCTGGGAGCTGCTAATGTCTCATATCTTGGGTAAGGAAAACTTAGGCTTAGAAAGCTTAAGAGATCTGCCCAGTGATGCGGAGTCAAGGAAATATGAGGATACAGAAATCCAGGCTCCAGCCTGAATCACTTTACTCTAAATGGCCAAGAGAAGGCAGGATCTGAACACAGCTCCTTGGGCTGGGAAAAGGACTAGGGATGAAGTCTCCTCTCACTCGCCTTGCAGATGCCTCCTCAACAGAGAGGCAAATAAGTGATGAGAAGAACAAAGTCGTCCAGCGTGGCCATCTGACCTCTCAACCAATCACCCTTCTCCAAGTCCTAAGCGCCTCCTACGTGACTGTCAAGGCTGCCCCCACCGCTTCCTGAATCATCTTCTAGATCAGGCTGCTCACAGACTGGCTTTAAAGCCTTGCGTTTAGCCAGGTATGGTGGTGCATGCCTATAATTCTAGCATTGGGAGGAGGAGGCAGGGGGATCGGTTCACTCCAGCCTGGAACACACAGAGAAGTGGAGGTCAGCCTGAACCAGAAAATTAGGCTCTGTCTCAAAACAAATAACTCCAACAGGTCATTGCTTAGTTCTGTCTGTGCTGCAAGAGGAGAACCAGGTCAAGAATAAGGGGTTGGCAAAGAGCTGCACAACTCACAAGGGTCTGGGAAGAAAGGTCCCAGTCTAGCCACCTCCCTCACACGGAGCTATCCAAAACGGCTCCGAGTCTCCGGCATTCAGCTGCCCTGAGTCTCTGCTGATCATCATGTTCTCGCTCTTATGAAGACTTCCACTAAAAAGCATGTTTTGTGTGCACGAGTCTGCCTGCTTATACTCAAACCTCCATTTCTAGCCATGTTTTTGTTGCACAACCTTGGGCAGGTTAAGTTCCTTAGCCTCCGAACGTCAGCTTACTCTTCTGGAAAGTGAAGATAATAATATAGCCACCTCAGAGGACTATGAGGATTACATAATATACATGAAATTCCCAGAACCACCAAAATGATAATTGCATTCTTTCTCTAACTCTTTTTCATAGGAATACTTATACACAGTGGTGGGGACCAGGAGAAACATCATGACTCCTTGTCTTCCTTCACTGTCCAACTCCAGCATCCCTCATAATCAGCTCTGTGTCTGATGAAGCTTGGGGCAGGGCTGTGACATTACCTGGCCACGGCCAAAATCTGTTCCTTGCGCAAGAGCCTGTCCCTTTCTGCACCACGTGGCCGTGGATCATCGGGTGACTTCTCAGCACCAAAGACACAGGAGTAGAGCACTCGGCAAAGGCCTGTATCTTCCGAATTCGGGGCCCTCAAGGTGTGGATGAGGAAGGCATGGACCATGGCTCCAGGGTGGGTGCTGCAGAGACGCCAGAGACCTAAGAGGTGAAAGTGAAACCCCTGCTAAGGAGGTACTCTCAAGGAGGGTGTGGCCTGGGAGTGTGTCCAGAGAGTGTTGTGGTTGGACACTAATCACCTATCCACTTAGATATGCCTAACCTCTGAATAATGTAATGTCTGGTCTGCATCGCAGAACAAGGGTGGAGATGTCTCCTACAACACTAAACCCACTTCTGCAAAACTATCCGGAAATCTCCAAAAGCATCAAGGTCATGAGAGTGCTCATGTGACCCAAAGGAAACCAGAGGCCACAGCTGAGTGCTCCTGGGACAAAAACAACCAGACTCCACAGTGTGCGCCACTAAGACAACTTAAGTATGGAGTATGAGATGAGGGGGAAGGATATTTATTTGTTTGTTTTGGTTTGGTTTTGGTTTTTCAAGACAGGGTTTCTCTGGGTAGCTTTGGAGCCTACCCCTGGAACTCGCTCTGTAGACAGGGTTGGCTGAGTTGGAAGTCTTGATCAATGCCACTTGGTTTGAATGGAGAAACGTGTCCTTGTTTTAGAAAATACACACGAAAATACCTCTAAATGCCGTAACTCTGATCAGCTGGAAGAAAAAATACAGACCGAGTGTAGCAAACCTTATCCAAAGGACTCTATCTAGTTAACCAAAACTATTTCAAAAATAAGACATGGTGGCACATACCTGAAATCCCAGCACTCGGGAGGTAGAGACAAGAGGATCAGGAATTCAAGTCAGCCACAGATATATGGGGAGTCCCTGGCTGCTCTGGACAACGTGAGACAGTGGCGACCCCGGGGTCGCAAGGCTGAGGGGACACAGTAGTTAGTCCCGGTAAAGGCTAAACAGATTAAGAATTCACAGTTATCCAACAGGTATGTTCGCAAACCCGCTTCAGGAAGGGAAGTCAGATTTATAGGCCTTGACCTCTGGTCACCTATCTGCCGCCAGCATATACGTCATCAACCCCGGCCACCGTGCGCCCTCTTTCCCTGACGGCCTCATTGCGTCACTGCCTTGCGCGGGCAGCGGCGCGCTGGACTCTGGGGGTTGTAGTGCGGACTCAATCCTGTAGCCCGGACGTGGGGTCCAATTTCCCGAGGGCGCGCAGGCTTCTGACCGGCCGATCCCCTCAGCTGCCAGAGCGCCGTGGAGATTTCGGGGCGCCAGCGAGCTTCTCTGGAGGCGCTGGAAAGCCCTTGACTAGCTGTAGCCTGGCCACCACGGGGTTGGCCGCCAGGGGGCGCTGTGGCGACCGCGACATGAGCCGAACTTTCCACGGAGGCCTGCGCACCGCTGCCCCCAAGCTACTTGTGTGCAGTGGTAACGACCGACCGAATTGCAGGAGCGGAGCCCTGCCTGCTGAAACGCACACCAGAAGGTGATGACTTTGGAAGGATACGGATCTGCGAGCAGTTGTAAAGATTCTTTATTGTTGGTTCCTTCAGTGGATTTCACTGATCCTGGATTTCACATAGGATTCCAATTCTAGTCCCAACTTCGTTGTAGTTGTGTAGCCCTGGCAGGTCTGCCAACTTTGTTAGGCCCCAGTGAAACCCCATCTAGAGACAGCTGGAGCAAGTGTTTAGGCTATCTTTCCCTTTTGCAGCCTCTGCTTGACTCCTCACAGGGAGGCCATCAAGGGACTTCTAACTTAAGAGATCTAAAACTAAGGTTTGAACCAAGTGGTGCTACTACCAGCATTAGTGTGAAGATCCAGTCTGGAAACATGGCCCAAGCGGTGTTTGGGATAAAGGTGCACACACATTCTTTTACCGCTTGCTAGGCATGTGAATTCTTAGGTTTCCTTAAATTTGTCCCAGTCTTATGTGCCTCGAAGGTCCCACCAAGGCTGTCCCCTCAGATTATTTACTAAGTGACTCTGACCAAAACTTCTGTCTCTTGTGGGGCCCATCTCTGCCATGGTTCCCGACTTCGCTCCCCAAGGCCGGGATTACTTGAATACTGTCTGATGACAAAGAAATGGAAGAGCAGAGTGGCCCAGGCAGGGCTTCTGAAGAAAGACCCCCATGAAGGACTTTGGCAGGCGTCTGGCAGGGGTAATAGATGGTGCACAGGCTATGGGGGTTTTGATGTCAGGTGCAGGCGAAGGGACGGGCCCAGAGGCAGTGTGGGGCCTCAATCAGAGAGTCAGGGGATGATGTTGGTTCCTGGTGCCCCGTCCCTATCACTCTGGGCCAGGCCTCATGTCTGCCAGCAGATTGTAACTAAGAACTGGCAGAGGGCACTGGGAACATGATATCCTGGCCTCCGTTCACCACTCGGGCAGTCCATGTCAAGTTCAAAACCACTAGAGAGTTGACCTTGTGTGGGGCGTGTGAAGAAAAGTGCGCTGAACCATCATCACCCTGGAAGATGGTGGAGAGCCCCGATGAATGTGGTATCACAGAAGGCTTCCCTGGTGAGCACTGGGGACAGGCAGCAGAGGAGGTCTTACCTGATGGTTTTGCTTGGGGCTGTTGTAGGAGTGCCTTGGAAGAGCCTTCTCTTGTGGCACTGGCCTCTTCTGATTTTAAGCTATGCTTCAGAGAGTCTGTGGGGCCCCCTGGAAACACTCAGCCATGCCGACTCAGATATGATCAAAAGCAGCCAGTTCAGTAGTGTCCGCTTCATGTTAGCGTTAGCCATGCACTTTAAAAATGTAGGAAATCCACGAAAATAATCATTAACTTTGAATTCTTTCGTTGTTGTTTCTCTGTGTGTGTAGAGCCCTGGCTGGCCTCAGACTCAGAGATCACCTGCCTCTGCCTTCCAAGTACTGGGATTAAAGGCATGTGTCACCACCGCCCAGTTTGAATTCTGGTTTTAAAACAAAACTAAGCCAGGCGGTAGTGGCGCACACCTTTAATCCCAGCACTTGGGAGGCAAAGGCAGGTGGATCTCTGAGTTCGAGGCCATTCTGGTCTACAGAGGGAGTCCAGGACAGGCTCCAAAGCTAAGAGAAACCCTGTCTTGGATAAAAACAAAAAACAAACTAAAAGCCAGAAACTGCATACCTTCAATCTCAGCACTGGAGCGGCAGAGGCAACCAGGTAAGGATACTCAGTGAGACCTTTCTCAAAAGTAAATAAATAAACTAAGAATGTAATAGAATCCGTTCCCTGTACTGGAAAGATACAGGCTTGAGCTAAGCATGGTTCAGGTTTATAATATAAAAAGAAACCTGGGCGTCGTCTCCTCTGGCAGATGACTAAGCCACACATCACAGAACAGGATGGAAAGTATTTGGAGTGTGAGTTCTGCTTCTCGCAGCAGCCAGCATCGAGGAGAGAGAGGAAGGGGGAGCACTTGAATTAGATGAAGGATGGGCATGACCTGAAAGAGGACAGAGAGTCTGACGTGTTGCCCTCACAAGAACGCTTTCCCTGGGGAGACACAAACAAACCTGCGCTGCTTCTGTACAGAGAAAGAGTCCCCCAGAGCTCGACTTGGGGTAAAAATGAGTTCCTCCAGCCTCTTTATTAGGAACAGCACAGGGGAGAGACTGGCTAGTCTCGGTAGTCAGTTTCTATAGGTGGACAGTCTAGACCGTACCATCCAGCTTTTGGTACGCTTTTGGTAACCAGAGTTGCTAGTCTTTGCACACACTGCTCAGTTGTTCATAAACACTTACACATTGACTCCTTGGTAAAGATTTGCCACCCCTCTTGTGCCTGCCCCATATGGGCTTTGTAAATTTCCCAATTCTCAGTTGGAGTCCTTGACAGGCCACACCTTTATCAAAATACACATCCCCTCAGGACTCACTCAGGGCTTCCTCCCCTCCCTATGGGAATGCCAACCATCAACAAACCTGATCTTGGGAGACTCTTGCAAAGACTCATTGCTGTTCTGATGAAGATGTTGGCTGTTATACTTGGAGGAGAGCATTCTACAGCAGGTTTCAGTGCCTGTAATTACAGCATTTGGGAGGTAAAGGCAAGAGGATCATGAGTTCAAGACCAGCCTCAGCTACACAATGAATCTGAGGCCAACTTGAGCTACTCAAGATATTGTCTAAAACTGAGGGTCAGGAGAAGGAAAGCGTGCTATATATCCATCCTTGAGCTGAGGACAGCCCTATGGGTACTTCTAGCAGATTCTATGCAGACAAGTGCAGTAGCCACAGCAGGCAGGAGTTAAAGAGGAGCAATAAGCCTGGCAGGGTGGTGGTGGTGCATGCCTTTAATCCCAGCACTCAGGATGCAGAGGTAGGAGGATCTCTGTGAGTTCGAGGCCAGCCTGGTCTACAAAGTGAGTTCCAGGACAGCCGGAGCTGTTACACAGAGAATTCCTATCTCAAAAAATAAACAAATATATATACACATAACAAAAACAAAAAACAATAAAGAGGAGCAATTGATTAACAAATGGGGAGAGTCCAAGCATTGACTCCGCAGGAGTAATCTGTGTAGACTGCATGGAGGAGGTACGACCTGGGGACAAAGTTGTAGCAAATGCAAATGATGGGAAGAAGCCAGTCTCTCCCATTGGGGAACAATTTCTCCCGAGTACTGGGGCATTGAAGGCACCACCTGAGGTAGGGTCAAACAAACTGTAATTTTGCATGGATGTGATGCCTGTAAGCACAACACTCAGACACATGAAGATAAATAGCTTTCAAGCTGTAGTCTTGTTCAGGTCGGGGGACTTACAGTGTCATTATCTGACCTTTTGCAGCCCTCAGCCGTCTGTGGCCCTTGAGGCTGAAAGACCTTGCTGCAGATAATAGTGGAAAGCATCTGGGGCCTGGAAGTGATGATCATATACACATGCATGATAAAGCCACTTCACGGGTTCCTGTACGTGGAGTCAGAGGTACCCCAGCTGATACAGCTTGGGAAGTGGGCAGAGGGAGCCTAGCACCTAGTAGCGACTCGGGTGGCTCAGAGGCAGATGGGGAAGACATTTATTAACCCTGGGAAGACAGGTACTGATGGCAACGCAGAGATGGGGTGGGACAGGTCAGACACACTGGGTTATGGGGCGTCTTCCAAGCACGGAGCAATGAGTTGCATATTGGTTGTGTGAGGCTCAGTATTAGCCCAGCATTTGAAGCAGGGGTGGGTACACAATAGATCTAGGTGTGGGATTCCATGTACATGTAACAGGCAGAGGAGGTAAGAAGGAACAGAATGTAGTAAGTTACTACCACAAACACAGAGGAGCTGGAAGGGACCAGATGGCTGGATCCATGACCCAGCTCTCAGCCTAGATGGGACAGAGAGCCATACTCCATGCCTCCTCTTCTCTCTTGTTAAGGGTTGCCTGCAGCCCTTGCGCATCCCAAACACCGGTATCTTCTTCCCATTGCCAGTCTATTCCCGTTCTCTAGTAGCAGGCTGCTAGGGTTCCTGTTTGAATTCCCTTGGTACCCATTGCTAGGACGTCTGTGAAGTGGCTGCTGTTAACTCGGATGAAAGTGGATCCCTTTCTTCAGCTGCTCAGGCTGGATCTAGAATTGCAGCCAGGCTTGGTAAGATGTGGCTTCTCCCAGACATCTCTACAATCTCCAAGTTTGGAGATTGTGCAGGGGATAGTGAGCTCCTTTCCCTGTTTGTTTTTGAGAGCTAGAAACTCTGAGACCTCAGGCTATCACTGCCTGCATCTGGATATAGGAAGGGTTATTTAGTGGAATCTGCTAGCCTCAGGCAGAGGATTTTTCTTTACTGATAAGGCATAGCAAAAACTAAGAGATAGGTGGCTTGTGCTTTTCTCTCCCTCTTTCTTTCTCTCTTCTTCTTTTTTAGAATTGGTGTGGGCTAAATTTGAGCTGATTACAATTGCCCTAATAAAAGAAGACAAAACTCAGGCCCTGCCTGTGCATTGCTGGGCTCCACCTCCCTGTGCGTGTTCTTGTGCTGGGAGCTTCCCCAGAGTTACTGAGGCTGCTTTTTTCCACACTTCTTCTCCCCAAACCCTGCTCCTATGTGCTGCTCAGACTGGAGCACACTGTAGCTGAGCTTTTCCCTGGTCCCAT